TCGGGTGCTGTTTTGTCGGCGTGGCTGTGTGGCAGACAGTGCACTGAAGGCGTCAGAGGCGCGCGGACGTGCAGAAGCCTGGATCGGCCGCCACTTATCGATTTGTAACACCGCGTTTGTCGTGCTGTATCGCCCGCGGTCGTCCTGCGCCATTGGCTGCTCGTTCCGTCTCGGTTAACGACGCAACACTGAACTTCGGGGTGTTCTTTTTTAAACAACTGCTGTATACGCGTCTCAGAGCCGAGTGTATAAACACCTTAATAGCAGCGTCTTACTGTTAAAGAGGTCGTTAATACGTCTGTGTGAAGATTTTAACCTTGAGAACGGTAACTGCATAATTCATCACACAGAAGACGTAACTATAACAAGACGTACGTTAATAGTAACTGTGGCGAAATAATACCAATGGTGTCCGGATAATTATACGAATTCTCGTTTCTGTTACACACGACAGACACGTAAAACACGCGCGTAATGTCTGTGATGCTGAAGACAGAAACTGCGAGCTGGTGGTAAGGAGACACGGGCGAAGGCTCAGTGGGTCAGGAAGGAACGCGACTACGATGACACCCTTCTGGTTACTACTGGCTTTGGTGGCAGTGACAGGTGTCGGTGGTTACATAGGTAAGTGAGCGTGTTGCATCCCCTTGACTATCAGGGGGCAGAAACACGCGTCACTACAACAGGGTGTTTCGAAAAGTAAAAACAGATCAGTGCATGACAAATTGAAGCTGTTACACAATCTGGCATGAAAAATGCGAAACAGAGAAGTGTCAGTTCGCAAACTTTAAATTCCCTCTCGTTGCCACACAAAGTTTACGTTTCCCTTGGCCACCGATCTGCCTGTTCCAGAGGTGGTTAAGGACTGGGGATGCCACACGACAGAGTTCAGGCTCACGTGCCGGGAACTGGACGCCCAAATAGCGATCCTAGACGCCTTTTTCACCGACGCTTCCACTGCGAGCCACAATTGCACGCCAACAGCTGACGAAGTGGTTTCGAAACCCTCCACCGCTTCCCCCCCGGCCTTGGTGGCGGTTGACAACGGAACGTCCACTGCGCTCAACAGTTCTTCGACACTCAGGGTCCGCAGAGAGGCCGTTTCTTTCGAAAAGAAGCAAATTGGACTTCCCGTCAAACACAGGTACGTTGTAGATTAGTGTAGATTGAGACAGGCTGCAAGAATTTTGCAAAATTAAACGCAGACAAAAATTAATTGCGTTCGGTCGTGAGATGCGCCGAAATATTTAAAATATAAAATCCTCATCTTCAGGGCCCAACTACAACCCTGAAGATGGAAATAGGATTTATCTCCGAAACGTTTGCATCTACTTACAATTCCACACGTAGTTAAATTCCGGAAGACCGACATCGAACCTGTTTTCTTCCTGAAGCGAGTTTTGTTAATATCTGTTTGATCGGTACAGGTATTAGAATAAATAAATACTTCAGCATATGTGTAGTGATGTTAAAAAGTGAATCAGAAATTCTGATGGGGAAAATCCGATATGGGCGACGTGAACTTTGATTGGATGAAACTGTTACGTAGGAACTTAATGGAAAAGTGTGTGAGGGTATCGATTGGATTCAAGTGGCTCAGGATTGGACAAATTGACGAGCTGCAGCGAACACGGTAATGAAAATTCTGGTTCCATCAAGTGAGGGTAAGTTACTGACTAGCTGAGCGACTATCAGCCGCTCCAGAAGGATCAGGTGCATGGATTAGTCCGAAATGCACGCACAAGTCAGACCTCGTCGCTGCTAGTTCATTTACGATGCGGCAGTCAGGACGGTTCGTCCGTTTCCAGGAACCATGGAGAGTGCCATAAATGATAAACATTCCTACAAGCGTTGTCATGACAACCTGTTGAAATATCACGCTCGATATTTTAAAATCTCTAATTATGTACGTACCATCCTAGCCGTGTGCCCCCCCCCCTCCTTTGTAGTTTCATGCATAAAACATTTTTCTGTCATCATATTCAAAACCTCTCGTCTTTATACGCACCGATGTTCTATTTGTTGCACGTCATATTCCATGCAAATATAACGAGTACCTGCGAAACTTCCAACTTTTATAACCTTCTAAACGTAAAGGTTAGTAATAAATATTCTTACAGAAACGTGACGAGTGCATCAGATTAAAAACAATATTTCGCTCGAAACGAGAATTCAGTGCAATTCATCGCAAGACGTCGAACCGAGGCACATCGTTCGAGCCCCGGTCCCTCACATGACGACGACGAAGATTGACCTCACGCTAAGCCACGTTCAGAAATCGTCACACACAGGATTTAAGACGTAACACCTTCTTCAGGAACAAATCACAAGTCACGCAGAAAGAAGGACAATAACGACTATATAAATCAACGCTTTGCATAAGCTGACAGTCTCTTATCTAGTCAAGAAATTTCCGTTTTTTAAGGAACCCAAAAGTTCATTACCACAACAGGCCATCACTAGACCCTATCCTGAGCCAGTTTCATTCAATCGGAACTCTCGTACCCTGTTTAAAATCCGTTTTAATAATATCATCCCATCTGCGTCTAGAGGTATAACTGAACTGGGGCTTCAGAGAAAAGACTTCAAAGGCTGAGGGGAGTGTTTGGACCTAAGAGGACTGAAGAGACCGGAGACTGGAGAACGTTACACAGCGAGGAGCTTCATTTATTGTTCCCTTCGCAAAATATTATCAGTGATGAAGGCAAGGAGAGTAAGAAGGGCGAAACATGTGGCACAGAAGGGAGAGACGAGAAATGCACACAAAATTTTAGAGGGGGAGAATGAAATGAAATTGCCTGTGAGACAGAACCGTAGACAGGAAGATAATATTAAAATCGCTCTTAGAAACATGGCGTGGACTGGATTTAGTCGGCTGTCGGACCTTCAACTGTTTTCATCCTACTTCATTGTGTCTGGCCAAGTCGCGCCACGGAAGAAGATGCGGGAAGTGTTCTTCACGCTCCGGCCTTATTTACCATCAATGATGTATTCCTACCAGGAAACTGAAGTCGCACTGCGAGTACTGGGCGCGGGACATCAATCAGACGCTGTCACCTGTCTGGCGCCTCGTACGAGAAGATGGCAGACATTAGCGGTTCTCCTCCGTTCTGCTTGCCCTGGGAGGCAAATATGTGGCCCAGGGCGGTTGTCTCGAACAGAGGGCCTGAGGACCCATGAGACAGGACTTCGCGTCGCACCGCGTCGTGACCGGATCTCAGACGGAGCAAAGATTTCCTTCATAGCTTGTACTCTTTAACAATATATTACTAGGGCAATCACATCAAGGAATGCGAGATTGGCGAGGCGCGTAGAATGCCAGATAACAACGAAAAAATCACAACAGAAAACGTGAAGAGAAGGAACCGCTGGTTTCTTGTTACAACATTAGCGTTTACAGTGTTTCACGAATTTAAGCCAACTGCGACGTTGCAAGTTCCCAGAGGACATCCATCTTCACATCAGTCAGTCGTCGAGAGCATCGAAAATCCCACCCTTTCACGAATTGTCGCTCCAAATGGAAAACTGTTCTACAGGCAGCTCCTGGTCCCTAACACTGCAGAAACAGAGAAACTAGCATCAGCGGTGTAAGAAGCACTCGAAGCCACGTGAATACGTACAAACAGGATCTTTCACTTTAAAGTATTGATCCTAGTAAACAGAACTTGCTGGCGCTAGGCGTGTGATACGTAACACATGCGAGCCGTTCACAGTGACAGTGTTAACACGAATGTACTTACAACCTCTCCTCCCAGGGGAATACGGGGAGGAACTATAAATTCGCCGAGTAATAAGACCCGGAAACCTTGCCTTTTTCCGTTTATATTCGGATCTCGGAAAGTCACGAGCTCATTACTCTCGAAGCACGGAGGTCGCAAATAATATTTAAGAATTCAGTCCGTACCGCGAAGAAAACACCACACTTCACCATTACGAAGACCAAGTGGTTAACGCTGTTCAAGGAAATAATCGCTGTTTACAGTGAGAATCGTACCAGACACATATATAAGAAATGAAAAGTTAATGGTTGATGTAGTTACCACTAACGCCTTGGTCCGTGATCAAATGCGTTTCACATCAGCCGATCCACAAGCTGAAAACCGTTATCTGTCATCATTTCTACTTCCTGTCAATTTACCGCGTGTTTCCGTGGTGCACCGGGCCTGTTTCAGGGTCCGTGGAATTCAAATGGGTTCACAGAGTACGAACAATCCTGACCAGATGTGAGCGAGGTAGGAACACGCCCCCCTCCCCCCACCACCCGTGTCACTTCCTCCTGACCCCAGCTGCCCCCTTCCCCCCCACACAGACGTCCTGGCGCACAGAGCATCGAGTCCTGATACGCGTTAAATACTCGTATTACGCGGTCTTTACGCCATGTAAGGTGGGACTTGAAGCTCTGCCAAATGGCCCATGTGTTCCGTCTGAATTCAGCGTCTGTAAGACTCGGTCTGAGTCAATAAATATCGTAAATCGTTTGTACCGCATATTAATTTTATAAGACCGACGTCTGGTTTGCGTGTGTCGCTCTGAGCCGAAATTTACGCGTTGAAAGTTGAAGGGAATCGAAAGTGTAAATAAATACAAAACCACGCTCTTGGAGATAATTGTAAAAATGTTGGTTATGTAACGACGTTCTTTCACCTGCGGAGCTACGTAGTGTCAAACTGGGCGATTATAAATTATGTTGACGTAAGCAGTCGTGACCTATTTCAAGATAGTCTCAGAATTTACTTGACCGGACAGAAGAAAAACCGGCCTCCGAGTACACATACTTACATACAACTCTGAGATCCATTTTAATATTATACTCCAATTTTTGCACAGATTTCCCAACCGATCGATTCTTTCAGATATTCCGACACGTGCGTGCTACACGCCCTGCCAATCTCATTCTCCCTGACACATCGTGGCGTATCACTTCCCTGAATGCAGAAGCAGTCCTCTTGGCTCAGAAACCAGCAAGTGAGTGCCGTGGGTGCTCACAACTGACAGATGACGGCAGTGCAGCGCGGAAAGCGAATGGCCTTCGGCTCTGTTTGCGACATGAATCTCGAAAGACCGTTTATGCTGCTTCGGAAGAACATACCTCTTCCATCTTCAGGGCTTCACGCGGTCTCGATACTACGAATTGCGGGACAATCCACGTGGACAACGAAGGGCTTCACAAACTCAGCTCTTCGCCAAATATCATCAGCATCATCAGATCAAGAGAGATAGGATGGTCGGAGCTTATAGCAGAAATGGGAGAGATGATAAATGCACACAGAACTTTAGTTGGAAAATCTGAAAGGAAGAGATCACTCGGACGACGGAAATGTTCATGGGATGGTCTTTAAATGAATGTTTAAAGGTATCGGATGTGAGGGTGTGAAATGAATTCTTTTCCCCCCCCCCCCCCCCCCGGGCCCAACACTCAACACCAACCTCCTGTTTCCTGTAACATCTTCACGATCAACCGACGCGTTAATAATGACGTCATTTGGCCTGGTTTTGAACAGAGCCGTCAGAAAACGGATATTCTTACGTCAGTGGGTTTAGCACGACAGGAACTTGCAGAACGGCAACGAATCGAAATTACCTGTTCTCAGATGGGAATCCCTTCTTCCTGGACTTGATGCCTATTTTACAGGGGCGAAGACGCTGTCTGCAGCCTCTGCTCTTCAGAACTCAGAACATTTCGCATGTTAGCCCCTCGCCCAACACCCTAACTGGTTAAAATATATATTCCAGTCATCACCGCGTCCATGTCTCATTCAGACCAAACACTCTGTGGCCTCTCGCATCGCACGGATCACTGACTTCACAGTCAAACTGCCACTTGTGGCAATTTGACTGAGTCAAGCAATCGGGAAGCCATTAGTCCCACAGACGTCGCGTTTGAAAGTAACGCTCGCAATGAAAACTTGTCTCTCACAGGTCGGCTGTTCACCAGCAACTTTATAATTTAGAGCAGTTTTCGCCGTTGAACAACTTGTGCATCAGTTGCTAACTTATTTATATGGGACCACTCGTGGGCCTCTCCCCCTTCTGAAGACTCCTATAACCCTTGAAGAATTCTTAACTAGGCGACCGATCTGTATGCTGGTTGGAGGACGCGTCGCGAAGTAGGCGCCTGTCAATAATTCAGACGTCGGTGTAGCCCTCACACCACCCCTTTCCTTACACGAACCCTTCAACTGAATATAAAAGTTATGGAAGGGGCTACACAGTAATGCCAAGTGTTGGTTGTTCATGTGGAAGAAACTAAACTCGCTTATGGAGTACACGCGAACTACTATCAGTTTTCAGGGGACGAACGCGTCCACAATTTAGATGCATTTCCAATGAACATTCATCTGTTGTCCCGTATACGCCGACCGACCTTTCATAATCTCGACTCACGTCGACAGTCGATAGCTGCTCCGAACACAGATTTATATTTTGTACCATCTGCGTGTATTTATCCGTCCAAGGAAAGATTTTACGCATCCAGATCTGGTCTGTGAAATTACCAACACACAGAATTTCCATCTCCAACAAATGTCAACAATCTTCTTACTTCCACGCGCATTCTCTGCTCATCAGTTCGTAAGATGTCCACAATATGACAAGGGTGGTACTCCTGTCTTATCAAGAAACGATGGGCGAAGTGCTCTCGTGACTCTGTTGCGTGTTTCAAAGGGCAGCCCGGACATCGCTGCGCTGTTGTTTCCAGAGGGCGCTACTTAGCGGCCGTATCTTTGCATGCGACGGAAACTTTTAAAGATTTGGCCGATACAGGAAGTCACATGATCTGTCAGCTATAAATAACATGGCTTAATAAACCTATGAAGTAGAAATAATGAGACGAATAAACAGATCACAGGCAAATACGACAGACGAGAGAGGATATAACAGGAGAATGGAGAGAAATACGCGACGAGGAGCTTCTTTGTTTGTAGTCTTACCAAGTATTGTTGCTAATAATAGGGTAATATAAACGAGGATGCGCGGTGAATGTAGCACGAATGTTGTAGATGAGAAATGCTTGTAGAATTTTGGTCGGGAAACCTGAAAGGAACAAATATTCTGAGACAGACGAATTAATGCGAACCCATAAACAACTTCAACTTTACCGTCAATACAGAAATTACTCGGAATTATTGTAACCTTCCCAATGTGCTGTGTAATTTGTCTCGAGTTTCTTGCTTAAGGACATAATTTGTTTACGTGTAGCTTCTCACATGTCTCTAATCTTATAAGTGTTGCCTCTTCTGGTAAGTACAAAACACAAAACGCACTTGTGGCGGGTTGCAGGTGTTCCGGGGTGAACCACTGCAGTTTCCGCCTGACGACAGACTACACGCTGGCGGAAGCCTGGGGCCCTGGCGTGGTGTTCATCAAGTACGCGTGCATAAACCGTGAGTGTTCACATATTACTCTTTGTGAACGACATCAGAATCGATCTTTTTTTAAAATTACTCTGGTCCCTCCCAAAAGGTAGCGTACTTGGCTGCTCGCATGACCCAAAAATTGCTTCAAAATTAAATGGTGTACGAGTCTCTTCTTCAGAAATGAATCTTCTAATCAAGACGGCATGTCCGTCAACACGTCTCATCTAAGCGTTCTGAACCAGCAATTGCTACGCGGGGAACAATTCATTCCTAGCCACCACGCACTGTCATTACGTCATCTAACCCCGGAATTTGGTAACCTAAGACGTTCCATAATTCGTTATTGCACTCACTCACTGCTCGTGACGGATGACAGCGAGACCGCACGATGGATCAATACATCTGATGCTGCTGGAAAACTTTTCATGTTTTTTTTGTTTTTTTTTGAAAGTATGTGGGATCCCCCACTCCAGTACTATTTGATGTGGAGGATCGCGGTCCCGCAATTTACGGAACTGATATTAAGCACCAGATAAAACGTCAAAACAGATACAGACCAACCTATCCTATCCAGCGCAAAAGATCATTTCTGCTACAGTTTATTTACTGCAATTGATGACATCGGTAGTGCCTTTTTATCATGGTTGCCATGGTTACCTCGAACACGTATCTGACAATTAAGAAATAAAACGTACTTGAAATTCACTGCTTAAAGCTCCTGTTTCCTGCTCCGTGGTTACGAACCCATGACCAGGGTCGCTCCTGAGTTCCGTCTGCCAAAAGGCAAATCCGATGGTCACGGGTCGCATAAGATTGTAGACTCGTGTGGATTCTGTTACCCGTTTCGAGGAAAACCACGCATTTTTCGAACAACACGGTGCCGATTATTATTATTATTATTATTCCTATTAGCGGCAGTGCAGTATCCAGAAACTGAAGCATGCGTTACGTTACGACGCCGGTAGACGCTTCCTCGTATAGAGTTATATCGATCGTGTCGATGAGGTGGAAGGAATTATCTGCCGGATCGTTAAAATTTTACGACTCTGCAGATGACGTTGTTGGATGCGAAACAGAATTTCGCGGTGTTTTTATTCAACGCCACTGGCCGATTAACTTAAAGGGCGCGAATACCCGACGGTTTCCACCCGGGAACACTGCACGTAATAATCATTTCGGGGAAGTGACTCTCCATTCGGCAGACTGTCCTGAAGTTTTTCGCTTGGTTTTACTCAGTCCAGCCAGGGAAATGCCAGGACTGCTTCCTTCCTTATCCGTGCCAATTCATTATTTATTAATCCGTCTGAGCCGTTGGCAACGTCTTCAAATAAACCTCAGATTATAACACGCAATTTAAAATTACTGATATGACAGTAGTATGTTCAATAAATGGCAGGAGGAACTTTCCTCACAAAACAACCACGGACTTTCCTGATGACGTGTTGCATCGCGCTCTAAATCTGTAAACTTTGGTCCCAGAACTGAT